TTTTAAAAATTCACACCATTCTAGGTAGCTTATCCTTTCTCACTGGCATTTTTAGAGTATTTTGAAAATTTCGATGGGGACTATTTTAGCAGTTGGCATAAGCTGGCACAGTGGGAAAATCACCCATTTTACTTGAAATATTATTGTTTTATTTAAGATAGAAAACCTAGACGTTTCTTTATTAGACAGTCCATAAGCATTTATTAATAAAAGTCTTTAGAATCAACCTGGAATTATTCCCATTTTATAGCTAGTAAAACCATACTGAAAACTTATCCTAAATCTCACAGGTAGTCATCAGCAAAAATAACCCTAGGTTTCTTGGATCTCAAGGCTTGGCTACACGTCAAAGGTGTAACATATCAATCTTGTACAACGCTTCCACTTCTAAAGAAAACATTCTGCTGGGTAATAAAGGCTATTTTACTCCGAGTAACTAAAAAGAGTAGATGGGTTGATCCTGAGTGATGACAAGCCATATTAATTCACAGTCAGAAAAAACAGCAGTCACTCTATTGAGTAATAAAAATCGTTAACATACTCGCAGAAATGAAATTACATAGGAAAATTCTTTGTTGGGTGTTGAAGAGAGAATTTATCTATACCCTCTGTACTACTTATAATTTATGTTTTGGTGCTCATGTCTGTGTAATGCTGCTCACTCAGCAGGGCAATCAAATTAAAGCAGAGTCATTCAAGTTGCTTTGGGAAAACAAATGATGAAAAAATATGAAAACTCATTACTAGGTCTGGAGAGCAATACACCAATGGCAGATTCATTGAGACCCGTGAATGCCCAGCATTTCTGAAAAATGAGGTCAGAAGTACCAGTATTGCAGCTAGGACTCTCAAGGGACAGAAGCCTGTGACTTTGGCAGGTTAAAAGACTCAGTCCCCAGTGCCATTTTTCTGCAGTTCAATTACTTATGTTACATCAAAGGGTTAGACTATTCCAGAACCCCTATTATACATTCACATGAAATCAAAGCATGGTTCTCTTTGGGTTTTTGGCATATAAAATTTGAATTACACTTATATTGTCTTCCTTCTAAACTAATCAAGCTCTGCTGTTTTCAGACAAATTATCAATTGGCACAGAGAAATACCTAACAAGTTCAGTAAGCTATAAAGCATTTCCTACTGAAGTGTGGGAAGCTACATGGCAGCATAGCCATTTGTGCTGAAATAGAATTCTTTTCTGCCTTTCATATGAATTCACTTTAAACAACAATTTTTAGGCTTGACAGATGCTTCCACATGACTCATCTTGATTTCTTAGCTGATACCAGGAATCAAGCCAGGGTCACAAAGGAGGGAGGCTAATACAGTAATTGCCAATTTGAAGGTAGATGGTACAGACAAAAACCTATGCAAAAACCATACTGGGTTAACACTTTAAAAAAAAAAAACACCTTTCTTTTACTCTCTTTTGCTCATCTTTAGCAGCTTCTTTTAAGCCTCTGTTCCTTTCAACTCAATGTTTAGTATTTCTGTATCTAACACATCCTTTCTTTCCTCTAGTTTCCATTATCTTGTTTTCAGATTGTCTTTGAATCTATTTCAGTGCAACCCTCCTCCATTACACTTGCTGAATTTTCCCTGGTATAAAGCTTAGCTTTCATTAGGACTGGATTAAAAATAAACAAACAAACAAACAAAATCACAAGCCAGACCGCTCTTTTCCACTCAATAACAACCCAAAAGAAACCAACAAGATATGCCAGTTTCCCAACACCTCATCCCTAATGCTCTTCTTACTCTTGCTGGCCACAGAAACAGAGAATCAATTTTAAACCTGACCCCAAACACTGAGCAGCTGTTTCTTCTGGTCTACCTCAGCAGACTTGCTTTCCTAACTCATTTGCAGCTGAATTTTCATGTTTTACTGGTAAACTAGCAAGAGACAAGACATTACTTGGTAATTTTCATGTCCAGACTGCATGCTACAGCAGGGCAAACTCTGCTGGTTTTATGCATGCCTTAGGCAACTACTAAAAAAAAAAAAACACAAACTTTCCAGAGTACAGAAAAGTGTAGAATAGTAATACAGCTAAGCAGTTATAAAATCGAGGTGCTTTTGTAAGGAGTTAAAATGTATATAAATTTTAAATATAAAACCATACTCAGAAATGAAGACACATGCTCAAGGTCACATAGCTGATCAACGGAAGAACACAAAACAAAATACCAGTTTTAGGATTTAACCATCAGTGACTCTGATATAACTTAATGGTCACATCTTCAACATCTTCATTGTGCTAAGGTTGCCTCATATGAAACTCTTTTCTAGGGTTCCTAAAAAACAAAAGACCGATTTGATTTTTCACTAACTTGAGGGCAGAGATGTGGACATGAATGTGGTAATTCTGCATCATGTTCATCACGTTACTGATGGATACATGCAAGAAAAAAACTGCACATAAAGGTAAGGGTAGGGTGGCAACATGCGTTTGGATACAGGCGGGCAGGCATGGGCAGTGTATTCTCAGCCTGGGATTGTGCATATTAAATCATGCAATGGTTGTATGCATACACAAAGGTTATGCAGGTAATTCCCAGTTTTATCAAGTCACATCAAAACAACTGCAGTGGTTCCACAGTACAGACTTTGGAGAATGCATTTTTACAAGTTGCAAGTCCCTCATAACTTGGGTGTTTGGCAAGCAGGCAGTGTTATCAGTTTACACACCTCATATCCACCCTTTGGAGACTTAAGGCAAAGGACAGATAAAAGAAAGGTAAAACTGATGCATTGATTCTGAGCTTCCTAGCTTTTGGAAGTTAAAATCATGCTATAATTGCAAGGATTTAGGTCACTCTGGGCTTTCCCCGATATGCCTCTGCTCTGAGTAAATGGATTTACGTGCAGTATACTGCAGGTTGAGAACAAAACGTTTTTAGAACAATTTCAAGGTAGCTAGTGCTCATTAATCCAGTTCTTTGAAATACTGTCCCAGTGAATATAGCACAAAGCAAGTGACACATACAGTTAACACTTCATATTTTATCAATCCATAAGAAAAAGGAAAAGAAGGTTTCGTTTTAGATAGGGCAAGAGCTATGTAATTGCTAAAGAAATGGAAAAGTAATTACAAGGGGTTTCCTTGGTAATTACCTATCATTACATCTTTAGGTAGCATAAGGGGTAGATACATCTATAGGAAAGAGACGGAATGATCATGTTTTCTGAACGGCAGAGAGATGAACAGCATGGGGCTACCTGCTAATCCTGACCGATACATGTACACAGGCGAGCCAGTTCCCTGTCCTCTCAAAGCAAAGAAGGATGATATGGCCAGTGCACTGGCTTGGGATTCCACCTGATTCTATTCTCAGCTCCATCACAGATTTCTTTTACTACCTCGGACAAGTCACATAATCTTTCTATGCTTTCATTATTCATTTATAAAAATGAGATCATAATGATTCACCAAACAGCAGACTTACAAATTAATATAATTCATGTGCCTTGGAAAGGAACCCCATAGAAAAGCAAAGTAAAAATAGATACATGAACATCTCAAGCAACACACAAGCGAGCAGCCCCACAGATTGCCACATGCTGGGATGTTTCCCTGATTCCCATTTTCCATCCGTCACAATGCAGAGAAATAATTGAGATGTGAAAGCTAGTCCTTAAGGAGATATTTATCCTTCATTAAAGTGCTGAGTAGACCATTTAATAAAGTCAATAAACTAGGAGCTTTTGATCTTCTATAGGAGCGACAAGCAGTACAAACTTCTAACGGAAAGATTTCTTTGGAAAGAAGACGTCATTAGTAAATTACAAAACTGCAAGAGAAACTAGAAAACTTCTGCATTTAAAAAGTGTTCATATTGCACAGGAACAGAACAGATTAAACAATGGTATAAACAGTTTATGACTAGGTCTTATGGGACCACTAAGAGGCTGAAGGATCCACCTTGGCGTGCTGCATAATGAAATTGTTTGAGAACTGAGCTAGAAAGCAAAGAGGTAGTACATGTGTTAGTAGGAGGTATTCCTATTTTAGTTATCAGTAGATTTGTGTGAACAGAGGACAGTATATTTCAACAAATCAAATATCCTCTCTCCAACTGAGGTTACGATGGCAGAGAACAGTTTATAGTTTAGAAAGGGTTGAAGAGGAACATTTAAAACAGTCCCTTTTGGAAGAGGGGGTGAGAGGGAAAGAATAAGTAGGGGACGTGTGGAAGAACTTAGACTGTGTACAAGAGAAGGGGGTAAGAGAATCCCTGTTTTCAAACCAGTTCTACCAGTAATCCTTTACTGCTAAATACAAAGACTGAATTTACATCTGTACAACTTTGCAAAGCTGTAACATGCTATGTAAATACTATTATTATTACTATTGTTATTATGATCAAGCTTCAGTCCACAGTACATTTTTAAGGCCAACTGTTACAGTTAAAGGGTCCTGCTGAGAATCTGAACAGCTCTTTGCTATGATGGTTTAAGAGGCTACCAGTCTGGCACATTCCCGATGCTTTCACCAACTGCCCACAGAGGAGCTAGCTGCCAAACCAATTTGCTTAGCAGCTTGCTCCTTTCTGCCCTTTCTTCACTGGACCATGTGAGCATGCAATAGCAGAGGAAAGCCTGCTTGTACTTCTGTTTGGTTTAATTGTTGGAATACAATCCTAAATTCCCAGAGAAGAAAGCAGAAACAGGCGCAGAGACAGCTTCAGCCCCTTTGTAACTAAACTGCATGTAGCCGAGGAGAAGAGACTACAGTAGCAAGCTCTCACAGGCTCATGTGTTTTGTCTGTTGTAATGGTTTTAAATCATCACCAGGCCATTTTCTGCCAATGCAGCATTGTTTGCGATGTACATTTTTTGCGTTTCCCACAATTTAGCTTTAATTAGAATGAGATACTACAAACAAGTGTTGTGGAGCAAGGCAGGTCCATTCACCCTAAGAACACACTGCTAATCCCAGAACACTGCTAGAGATAATGCAGTTCCCACCTTAAAAAGTAAAAGGGATTAAAATACTTACAGTAAAAGCTTGTCCTCTTTTCTGCATTAAAAAGAAAACTGTCTCCTACTAGCTTCTGAGAGCATGTGCAAGCCAGACTGAAAATTCAGGGTTTGAATACTTCCCTGAGAGGAAAACCACATTGCAACGAGACACAGAGCTGCTTGAGAAATGATTCACATACGGAAGCAAGCTGGCTTCACCAGCGCTTTGGCATTCAGCACACACACGCACACACATATGCACACTTGCTTACTCAGGGGAAAGAGAAATATTATATTTTCATCAAAGCAAGAAGGATTCATGCAAGCAAGTCATTTGTACCCCACCTCTGAAATACAAAGAGAATACAATCCATAAGGCAGCAGAGGAGTTTCTTTCAGTATCCTGTCATCCCCAAGAGCAGAACTGGGCACTGGGCAGAGAGCATAAGCCCCAGACTAGTCTGCATAATCAAGTAAAACATGCAGTACACACACTGTAGGAAGGGCAAGCTGGTCACAAAAAGAAGGCATTTTTTCAGAGGAAATCACAAAAGCAGCTCTCAGAAGTTTTTATATTCCACGCTAATAATCTTTCTCCCAGAGTGCCAGTGATCTCAGCCAGGATACCTTACAACATTTCCCTTGCATCCATCATTGCTTCAAAAAAGTGAAAAGCGTGTGTGTACAGAGCAGAGGAAGTTGCATTAGAACAGAGGCCTTTACTCGTTTATAAGGCAGGGTATAAAATACATCCACAGACTGATACATAGTCAAGGGCTGAGAGAACACTGCTCCATGAATTGACAAGGAGCAGCTCAGTAACTCACTCCTGAGTGACTTGTCTTGAGCTGTGCAAGCAGAAGAGTCAATCTGTCCTTTACTTAGAAGAGAATAAATAAGGGACAAGAGGGTGAGAAATGTTCAAGAAAGTCCCTCTTTCTTAAGCTTCCTGAAGAGAATTTAATCTGTGAAAAGGGAAGGACAGGGTCAGAGGTTCTAACAGAGATAAATCAGGCATAGATAGGATCAAGTTGAGGGAAACAGAAGGGATATAAACAGAAATCAAATTCAAATCTAATTTTCAAACACTGAAAGCTAAAAGTTCCAGAATTGTTTGACTCTAAATGAAGAGGGTGCTGTTCACTCTCTGATGTGAATCTCTTCAGATCAAAACTATAGATCAGGACGTGTCTTCTGAACTGCACAGAGGGATCCTTTCCCAGGAGTGCGAACACAGCATATAAACAATGTTGATGTTACAGTGGCAGTCTCATAATAATAGAAATAGGGAAGATTTACAATATGACCCTAAAAACAGTTGCTGCATCTGAATAATTCAACTTCACTGCACCCTTTAGCAACCCCTCATTCTAGGTGCCAAAGGGGCCTAGAGGAAGAGTACATTTACTTTCTAGTTCACTGTTGGCACGACATCTATCACTGTAGAGCATCCAAGTCTCAAGAGTCTAAACTGAGTACCTTCTGGGTTTTGGATCCAACTTTCTTGTGATGTTCCTCAGAGGGGGGGAATATTTACCTTCAGGTCTTAAAATACCAGAACAAGAAAAAGCGCATGTCATGACTTACTTAGGAAGTGATAACGTTCTATGTTTGACAGGTCTCAAGTATACGTTATTAGCTGTAAAATCCCTAAACACTCAGTCAGTCATGCCAAGTGCTATTCCAAATTCACAGATATCCACAGTACCAATTTTTTTATCCAGGCTACTTTACCAGTTACTTAAGTACTCGGGGATCGACCATCTGATGACAGGTAGTAGAATTTATCCATTCCATATTTTTATATGTCTAATATTTAGAGCTTTTGAGACTATTCACAAAGCTAAGACCAGATCAGAAGACAGTACATTCTGTCATTCATATTAACAAAATACACGTAGATATTCTGATCTAATTGAATTGTGTTTCTCCTTCCCAAGGAAGAGACACCGCATTCAGTGGTGCATGCATAGACAATGATGTCATTCAGGTATGCAGTGTAGGGACTGCAAGTCAGTCCCTCTGCTTTGATAACAGACCATTTTCAAAACTGAAGATATACAGCTGAAAAATACTGACTCAGAAGTAAAAGATTGCAAGCCCCTGGACCCTGAATTCGTAAGTGAGAGCACATCAGTTGCATACACCCTGCTGAAAAAGTTTCTTGTTTGAAAAAACACACATACTTTTTGGACTGCAGCAGTGTGTCTCTTTGCCATTGCTGGTGAGTTCATAAGGGCTCAGTGGGAGAGCAGCCTTGTCAGCTCAATAGGTTTTCCTATCCTTCAGCCAAGAGAAATAAAAATTGAAATGAAAGGAGAGGGGAAGGAAGAAGAGCTACTATATTTCATTCTCAAAGACATTTTTGGCTTTGATAAATATAACTTGACCAAAAACCTGAGAATGAAAATGCTTAGGCATGAGGGAAAGTCATAACATGCTTCAGCTTTGGTACACAGGCTATAACAGTGCCATACAATTTCCCTAAACCCAACAAGATCACTCAGTACGTTGGTTTATTTAGAGACTTTTTAGTAGCACTTATTGCTATAATTATCTGATCTCTTCACTTAAACCAAAGAATTAATCAGCACAAAACCTTCTGAACTGAAAAATTACCTCTCTATTTAATGAACAAGGAGCCCAGAAACAGACAGCTAAAATAATTTGGACAAGATCATAAAGAAAGTTTGTGGCCTGTCCAGGGCCTTAATCATAATTACTTTCACACAGCCAGGAGCAAAAAAAAAATTCAAATAGTGATATAAAATTTTGTTTGAAGAGTCTGCCAGATGCTTACCTGACTTGTACATTTGGTTGACAGACAAATCAAATGAACAGTTAGCAAATTGCTTGCATGATGGCCCATCCACTAGCTCCCATGACTCTGCCAGAAGGGAAGAGATTAGACCAAACCCCGCTAATCAATAGACCTGCACCTTAAATACTGCACTTGAGGAACTTAAATCCTTTATGTTGCAACCTGCATTGCCTACACACTTTTATAACAAGAAATGTGGAGGAAACAACTTTATGCAATCGGTGAAGGGCAGAATTTATAATGGCATAGTTCATTTGAAAAGCAAATGCACTGAAAAAGAGTGTGGAAAAAAAGGCTCATAGAAGGAACATGTAAGATTAAAAATATCTGTAAATGCACAGATATTTATGCTGTATTTAACTGCTTTTGTGCATGCAACAACCTTAATTACAAAGGGAGAGATTCCATAAACAAGGCTATTATGTCAATAACAATGTCTTTTTAAAGCAAGTCTTTAATTCAGTTATAAGGCTTAGAGCATTACTGTCTGGAGTTATAAAACCAAAAGTAATTACAAAGGAAAGTCTGCATCAGACAGTGGGTATTAGTGGAGTCAGACCATGGCTTTGGGACTGTATTTACTTCCCTCTTTGTACATAACTGATACAAGCTTCTTTCTATTTTCTCAGTTCCACTACAGATGTCAGGAAGTTCAAGCAGCTAGTAGACATTTGCAGAATGAATCATGGGGCACCAGTTTCCATTTTGACAAAAACAACTGCTGTTCAGTTAACAAGATGATGCTGACCAAATGGGTGGATATAAAAAGTGAACTTCTGGAATTGTTGCCAGAAGGGCTCCGCCAGTGTGAGAAAGCTATTTGTGCAGACTTAGAGAACTTACGTTTTTTCCTGCGCTTAGGAGACTATTATGTGGTTTCATGTTCCCATTCATGTACCTGAGGAGCTCAGCCTGTGCCATGGCTACCAGTTTTGACTTTCAACTAGAGAAGATATTCTTTTGCTGGAAGACACCAGAATCATTAAAGTTGGAAAAAAAAAGCAGATATATTTTATGGAACAGGGAGTGCTATAGGAGATGAAAAAACAGTTTCCTTTGTTGCCTATTGCCAAAATTTCAGAAGACCAGGCAACAACTTTAAAACAGTCAAGGGAACAGCCACTAAAAAAAATTAGAATTAGGAAATAGGCTATTTCGAAAGTAAGCATCTGTAAGAGCAGCCAGCATTTTTCAGCATTTCTCTTATTTCCAGATAGAACACTGAAGAGCAAACAGAAACCCTGTAATTCATGTATTAACAATAAAAATCTCTGATTACTTTTGCACCCATTTAAGCAAGTAAGTTTATTTTTCTCTGCAATTTTCAAATGTCTCTGTACTTTCTTAGGCATCAGAGGCACAGCAACAAACCAATGATAGCTTTACTGGAGTCATCCTTATTCAAAATCTGGATAAAACTAAATATTGTCCAAAAGGCAATGCTCAGTGCTTCTCCCTAAATGGGGGAAACATACCTACCTTAAGTGGTCTTTTTGACTTCTTATAAATAACTTTGTATTTCAATGATTAAATTAAAGATTTATTGGAAGGGAAATGTCTCCATTCTTTAATTTCTCACTGCTCATTTTCTGTTGTATAGATTATAAAGCAGCATTCATTAACAATTCATAGAGAATTACCATATTCAAGTAGCACAGCAAGTTCCTTCTACCTACACAGGCAAAATACTGCATAACCCTGCTTAGTCCCTTTCCTTATTTTCCAAGATGGATCATATCCTTAAAAGGCTAGCATTTTATCACCTAACAGAAAAAGAATTAGAACAGGTATCTATTAGAAACAGTGAGGAACTTTCAATAGCAATCATTTAATCAAATTTTTGCTGATTGCCGACACTGGAGAGCTGTAACTGGAAACTTACGAATTGAGAGAACGTGTGTGAAGCTGCCATAGAATTAAAAAAAAAAAAAAACCCAATGAGATGGTGTAAGACTACCTCACTGCTTTGAACTTTTCAGTGCATTTCAGGTTGATGCAAATAAAAAAAAAAAGAGTTGTCAGCTTTGTTTTAGAGGGACTTATACTGGAATTGCTGACAGTCCTTAAGCGGAAGCAGAACTGCAGGATATGCCTCTTTACATAAGAGTGCACTGCCGGGAGCCCAGCAGCAAAAAGAACTAGGACAAATTAACAGAGAAAAATGATGAAGCACAGGTTGTTCAAATCCCCGGAGACAAACAAGCTCTCTAATGTAGATCAGGATTTCAGAGAAAAGCTATCTGTGAGGTTTGATGCTCTATATAGTAATATCTTACAGTTTGTCTTGTTCTTACTCTATGCATCTGCTTCACATGTTACTTAAACAGAATCAGCTAATCATTACTGCAGCTTAGTTGAGATCCTCCCAGTATTAACTATAATGTTACATAATAAATATTAAGAAATATGCAATGACATAATGCAAAGAAATTCCATTCTATGATCCTGGTTCTACTTTCAAGATTTCTTATGAAAATTATTTCCTTGGATTTTTTGGTTACTAGTCATTACTTCAGATTTGGAATCCTCAGTCCAAAAGTATTTGGCACACAATAAACATCATCTTATATTTAAAATCAATTATGAGCATTTTTTAATTTAGCCAAAAGAGCTTAGTACGTGGATCATGCTGCCTACAAGGCAAGTATGAAAAAAATACCTGTGCTTCGTCAGCATGAACTATTCCTCCAGATGGATGGAACTCTTTCTGTCACAGAGGTACACAATACCACTTGCTCCAGCTCTGTTATGTCTATTGTCCCCACACACAAATCCAGAAAGTGAATGCAAATTGCTCCTGTCCTTAACATACATAAATCGGCCTCTCATTTTCTTATAAAGTCTAGCTAAAGAATTGGCCTGTTGTACAAATGGAAGTATCACTTACCTTTAAAGGTCAAAACCAACAGGCCCAACAGATGAAGAGAGGAATAAGTGCAGGAATAGGTGCTTAGCTTTACAAGTTTATATAAAAGCAAACAAAAACTTAAAATGTTCAGCACATACTCAGATAAGGGGGTAATGAAGCAAGATAACATGTTATTGGGCCTAAAGGAAGAAGTATCTTATGGACTTTGTGGCCCATTTACCAGAAAGAACAGAACAGAACAGAAAATCAAAACAAATGAAAGTAAAACAAATCCTCTGAGTTGACAAAGAGCTAGCATGAGAGAGATTAGTGAACCTGTCACTTGGAAAAGCCTATAGAAACAACTATCCTTACAGAGCAAAGGAGGATGGATTGGCCAACAACCAGAAGATGGAAAGGAAAGCAGACAGGATGGAAGGAGAGGAAGATTAGGAAATTTAGGACAGCAGGAAAGTCACTCTAGAAGGTGCCCAGCTAACAATGCCAGCCTGGTATATAACAGCTGAAGGTCTAGAGCAAAAAAAAAAAAAAAAAAGCATGGGAACATGGAGAAAGAAGAGAGAATATACCAGCAAGGTCAGGTTTTTCTACTCCCAACTGAATAAGTTTCAAGAACTCCACCTGTTCCCATGGCAAGTGGAATATTAGTTTTGCATCCTTCATTTGGTGCATGAAGACAAATAAACTGATCTAGTGAACTATGGGAGTAATTCTGCCAATGAATTGGTTGGCCACAGGGAATTACAACACACGAGTTCCTAATTTCTTGTCCCATGCGCATGTCAGTGATTAGGTCAGGAACACATCAGAAGATGCTGACAGAAAGAGGTAAATGAAAAGTTATGTATATTTAACAGAAGAATTTACCATTTCCAAAAAAAAGAGAAAACATTTGATTTGTAAATTAAACACAAGGTTCAAAATTTTCTGGCTGTTAATGGTATAGAGAAGCCTATGTCTGGGTCCAAAGAATAATGAATGCAATGGAATTACTTGCATTGGATAGACTGGATTACTTCTAAAGATCTATCAATTAAGCCATTACTACTTAAGCATTTGGTTCAAATCTCACACACACAAAAAGTCACCAATAATCCTTACTTTCTAGTAGTTATCCTGCACTGCATGAATTAGAGAGCCGTGGATTTGTTCATATAGTTCCCTTCACAACTACTAGTGCTAATTAGTTCATGCTAATTGTTGACAGTATCAATAGAAAGACCATCAATAGAAAGTGTTGGATCAGTCAAGGAGAGTGATGTCTTCCTATTCCTGCAAGAGCTCACTGGTGAAGGCGTGTTCTTCAGGGAAAGCTTGGTCCATCACTGATCCTCTGATTTGAGGACTTCAGACTCCAAAATCACCAATCTTACTCCATTAACAGTACCATTAACATTCATTGTTATTAAAAATCAGGATTTTTTCTCTCTGATAATGTGTATGAGCGCATTCAAACAGCCTAAGCCTTCTGCCCTGTATTAACTCATGGAGCTGGAAACCTTCTACCAGCAAGAAATTCTCTTACAGCAGTTACCATGGTGACACCTGGTAATAAATATTTAAAGGCAGCTCACTCATAATCACATCTATTGGATATCAAGAGGCTTTAGTAAGAAGGACACGAGAAGCTTGAAACCAGAGAGCCAGGTCTAGTGGTGGTGTAAGTGGACAAGAAATCTATGGAGTGAGATCTGCTTATACCACCACTTTGTTGGACACAAAACACCCATTCTGTTCAAATCTGAAAAGGCACTGAAGTCTACAACATAAACTGTTCTGAGTTAATCATTAAGAACTTTGTTCTGAAAGCCTCATTTCAATAGTTGTGGCTCTATCAATCCTTTCAGAGGTGCCAGTGCCAGAAGTATAACAAAAAGGTGTGCTACCATTCATTAGAACCGGGCTACCCACATTAGAACCGGGCTACTGGAAACTGCCCTGCCTACCAACATCACCTCAAAGGGGTTGTTTCGAACAGAGAAGTGCTGGTAGCAGCAGCAGCAGCAAACAGTGCCCTCTGCCTCCACCCCTATAGCGTGATGCCCGGGAACTGATGAGCCCCATTTGTGCAGCAATAGCCACAAATTCCACTACAAACAGACCTTGCCTCCACACCTGGAGGGCTGAGCTATCCTAAAGAGTGCCATGCTGCTTTTTTGAGATTACAATACAGTGAATAAACATGATTACAATACAGTGAATAAACCTGAAGCTATCTGAGTTGAAGAAGCATCTTTAGTGAACTAGAGTTATAAGCTATCTGAGTTGAAGAAGCATCTTTAGTGAACTAGAGTTATGAATGTTAAATAATACATTTTTTTAGGCTTTAACATGTAGCGTTGCAGTCCACTGGAATGTAACAAAGAGACTCTGCAGATCATACCTCTAGATATGAAGACGCTTCACTGAACTGGCAAAGCCTATGTCACATTTACCAAATTGAGATTTCCTTTCTCTTTTTGCTGCTTATTTCCATGACAACTTTCCCCCAGTATCAACTTCTTTATATTGGAAAGGTCTCTCAAAAGAGAATGTAGGCTTCTATAGCAACAGCTAAAATCCCTGGGAGATGATGATGTCTGAAACTTTATACAGATCTTTTTTTAGTCTGTGAGTTACAACACAAGCACATTTCAAATTTCATAGGTGAAAACAACAGTATGGCTAATATTAGGGAAATAGGGAAGAAGGGAATGAATAGCTTGCTGAAGCGGCACAAACACAAAGAAATCACTTCACTTTTAAAAAGAGGTGGGAGAAAGAGCATGTGTGCTTTAAGATATAAAACGTAAAGAGAGACGATGAGATCAAACAAATGTCTTGAAACCCCACATCCTGCTCCTTTCCCCCACTGAGTTACAAAACAGTCACATGGAACAAGTCTGCTGATCCTAAAAGGAGACTTTATTTTAAAGCATATATGCATATATCTGCAGTCTGCCTTATATTGACCTGAAGAAAAGATCAGTGAGTCAGGATGCCTTTTTGGTTTTAACTCTCATATGTCTTCCATTTCTAGCTACAAACTAACCTTTTGTCAGTGTATTACTGTTTGCCGTCATAGTGACAGTACTTTTCAGCATAAAAAGCCATGTTACCTCAGAAGAAAAATAACTGCACTCTCAAACAAAAGATCAGTTAAATTCATGTAGGCCAAGAGAAGTACAGAAGTTAAAGCAAATTTCATTTACTGAATTTAGACATAGTTCACTAAGCAATTTGCTTCTCTAATGCCCTTTCAAACATAAGATCTTAAAATTTTCTAACCAAAATATTATTACATTCACAACCTGAATGAGAGGTAGGAAAGCACCAGCCTTAATTTACAGATGGGCAGACTATGGAATGGAAATGTAAAGTAGTGCTGCCAAAACCAGGACCAGAGCCCAGCAAGCCCTGACTCGCTTCCTTTTACAGCCACTGGAAGCTCTTTGCTAGAGGTAGGAGGCAAGGCCTGCAGAGTGACCAATTAATGCAACTGGAAAACGGTCAAACCTTCTTCATCGCTTGTGTGCCTGAAAGCTTTTCCTTTTTTCATGAAAATATCTATTAATCTGTTATCTCTTCCTCTCATATCCCTAGATGATCACTGTTCTGGTAAGGGAAAAGGGGGTGGATGGGTAGGCATAAGAGTGAAAAAAATACATTAACCAAATTATTTTGACTTCCATTTTCAGCCACTTTGTGTCGAGTTAGATAATTACAGGAAAGGCTCTGGAATTGAAGGGAATTATAAAACAAAGCTGAGAGCAATGAAAACTCTTTTTTTATAGCAATGCCAAAAATGACAGCACAAGCCTATTGAAAACCTGGGAGTTTGACAACCAAGAGAGGGATACAAAAAAAGGATTTCAGCCAAAAGTATTTTTTTCATGGTTTAAATTTTTTAGAACCCTGTTTGGAGAATATTGAAGTGCAGGACAAAGGCTGAGTGACACTGCTGTACGTATAGGTCAAGTGAAACCAAGATATTAAATATTCCTTAGGTGCTGCCCTCTGCTGAAACAGACACTGAATACATCGGCACACTGGCAACATAGGTGGCTATAGAAATTGCTGATCATCTGCCTCGAACACTACCATCACATAGGAAAAACATACAGATACATGCACACACACCTGAGGAAAATGTTTCATCTGGGACTAGGCAAGGTTAAAAATAGCCTAAGGCCTTATACTGGACTTAGAGCTCTGAGACTCCAATCCAATTCAAGTGTGATTTTAGGCACACTATTCAGATGAGAGCCTTGTGAAGGAAGCAGATCAAATGCATTGGCTACACATCTGCAATAGTGAAGGTCCATAGATCTATGAAAGAATATAAACAGCTTGAAGTTTCATATAAAGAGTTTGTTAACCAAAGATGTGTGAACTCTCAGATTCTCCCTCTCCATGCCTCAACCCTCCATCTAATTTCACTCAGATGGAAAGCCCGTTCAAGCTGATGAGGTTATTCAAATACTCAGGCACATTTATTTCTTCATATGTGGAACACAGATCTGCATGCACGGAAAAAGAAAAAAACATTTAAATATCTAAAAGGAGGGAGAAGAAAAAATATAACGAATAAATATACAAATATTTGCTTCTAAATATAAATATTTGTACAAACATGTTTATAAACATTTCATTGTATTTGTAAACAAATATAAATGCCACGTTTTCTCCAAAATCCAGGAACAAAGAAAAGAAAGTCAAAATAACATTCTAGCTATACATGTAAACTCTCAGTACTCAAATTCTAGATCCAAGAGATCTTTTTTTGCTTTATGTCTGTGGAAAATAGGCTTTGCAGTGTGACTTCAAAATCAGTCCAACTAGGCTATTTTGGATCAAGCAGAAGATTGAAATCTAAAGTTCAGGACTCCTTAGGGACATCATCCTGCCAGCAACCTTCTCTTCCTTGTAAAGATACTGCTTTACTAGATTGTAACAGCCTGCTTTTCAATGGTTTTTGACCTTAAAAAAAAAAAAAAAGAAGCCCCTCTCTACCCTCAAAAAAAGAGTAAAGAGGGAACAGCATTGAGCAGTTCTGAAGATCCAGCCAGTAGAGGGCAGTGGAGTTTAAGAGGAAAGTTGTTGACAACTTCATTCAAGGAAATATTGGAGTGGTAAAATCATCAATTTATATTGCTATTTGAACTTATTCATCCAGGCCAAAAGTAAGATGTAAACAAGATACAATGCAAAGGATAAATAAAGAAAATCAGAACGGATTACTTCAGAATCTCTAGAGAGCTGAGTTTCATGGTGTGGTATCAGGAAGATCTCATACTTGATTCATTGTTTAAAAAATAATTATTAAAATCTTTTAAGTAATTTTCAATTATTGAAATACACTGCTTTGAAGCATCCTATTGAAACCATCACAACTATTTCTCAGGACTGAAAGGCTATAAATTACTTTTTAATTTAAAAGAGAGAAAAATAAAAAAGAAGTCCAAGCTGATTTTGTTTCAGCATACCTATCTTCACTTGTGCTAAGTTGAGCAAAAAACTGGTTCTAGTCCACAAGAACAAGGTAAAACAGGCTAAGCGAATGAAACACAAGCAAACCATGTATCAGAAGACTTTTAATTTTAACAGCTCCTTGGTTACCAAAGAAGTACAAAAGAAACAATTCTCACCTCATTACCAAGCAGAACAAGCATAAAAGAGCTAAACTTTTATGTGATTCAACACTAGTTAAGTTTGCATTTTGTGACAAAGATGGATTTTGTTTATGCCCTAAACACTTCCAAGCTATAGAGGCCCTAAAGTAAAATTTAGGGCCAAAATTTATGCCAGAGGCAGGTGAAGTTTGCTCAGAAGGCTAGAGGAGATGCCCTGACCGTCTCATCTTTTCACTTAGCATACGGAAAACGTGGAAGACAGGAGGTATCTTGTCCGAGCTCGGGCTAGGACCTCACAGGTTGAAATCGCTCTGTGCCATGAAGCTCTTCAGCTCTCACCGTGGATGACATGGGACAACCATTGGGGTGCACCACAATTTCCCACACGTCCGTGCTAGTAACACCTTAGGTGCACTATAGCAATGAACCGTTGCTCTCTAGGACAAGGACTTTGGTAGGACTTTGTCCCTGCGGTGGTGACGGCGGTGACACTCAGGCTCCGCTCCCACCCCAGCGAACTGTGGAGGGACGTTACCTGCTGAGTTGCGTTGCCCTCACCAGATCACGCTCTGGACTTGTCCTGACGGCTCGAGGGATCGTACGGGGGGAGGCTGCCCCGTTCCCGCCCGCCCCGGCGCAGGGGCCTCAGACCTGTTGCCCCCACAGACAGCGGCGCGGTCAGTCAGGTTGGGGGGGGGGCGCACCCCTC